GAACCATGGTTAAGGTTAGCTTGCTCCTTAAGTTACCTACCTCTATATATTTGTAATTTCTACTCTTGTAATCACTTTTGACATTTATGAGACTTAGAATTCAGAAATTCTCTCTCATTTCAAGAGTCCAATTTCGTGGAGAATCTCCTTCTCCTAGAAGCTTCACAAAGGAACTTCTCCTTTGTGCTTGGTTCCTCAAGTTTCTCTCTTTCAAGAGAAATCGAACCACCTTGGGAAGCATCTTCAAGCTTTTGAAGCTTGAACTCATCCAAATCTTCCATTAAAGTGAATAACCTCAAGAGAAGAAGGGACTTAACATGGTTCAACTTGAAGAAACATCAATCTTCTCCAAATAGTTCCATCAGTCCCCGCCCCCGCCCCCGCCCCAATTTTATCAATCGGGGAAAACCCGAACCCGAACCCGATAAACACGGGTTTTTTCCCGTCCAAATCGGGGTGGGTTCGGACAGGTACCCACGGGGGCGGGTTAGATTGTCATGCCTATGAGTCTTACGTTATTATCTCTTATTTATTTATATTTTTTTATTTAAGAAGATATTTTATTATGAAGTAAAATTTGCACTTTATTTTTTCTCTTATAAAATAAATAATATAAAAACTATTTTTCTCTTCTACTTCTTTTCCTTATTTAACGTGTTTGTGCGTGTGTACTGAATCAATGTTGAACAAAAATTATACATTAAATAATAAAAAATTATAGACTAAATAATAAAAGTTTATGATTTTTATGGGTATATAATTCTTATTATTTGCTCTAGATTCTTTAACAAATACATGTATGTGTGAATTATTTAAATTGTGAGTGTAATTAACCAACTATCTTATAAATGAAATTTGCGGATGAACCTTTTATTACTTATAAATATAATTGTTTTCTCGGAATTAAAGTCCACATAGACAAATAGGAAGTAGCTTGCTTTGAAAATCATATACAACATTGAGTTTAATTATTAAAAAAATTAAATTACAGCAAGATAATTAAACTTTTATAAAACCAGATAAATTTGAGAATTTAAAAATTTTTTTAAAGCAAATATCAAAGTGAATCCTCAAATTTTCTTGAAATTTAATTATTGGGAAGGTTCCATATGCATGCTCCCAATTACACTTCAATTTTGACCTTATTACAAGTTGAATCATATGGTCAAAAGCAAAGAATTTGAGAATGATAACGTTTACACGGTTGAAGGATTGATAATAAGCTAGTTAGTTCATCAATCAAAAATAAAGATATTGATTGATAACGAAAGATATATCTCAATCAACAATAATAGAGATTAGTCTCAATCAATCAATATCACTATTTTGATTTATTAACAAAATGTTATTGGAAACGAGCGCATACATTATCTGAGATACAACAAAAAAAAATGAAATAAAAATAGGTTACATCACTTGATGCGCACACACACAAAAAATAAAATAAATAAAAGGCAAACATTTATTATTTAATATGATGATATTTATGTTATTGGCAAAAAAAAAATTAAAAAAAATTAAATTTTAAAAGATGTAAACAAACAGTATAAATTAAAGTCTAATAATAACACAAGTAGATATATGAACTAAATACGACAAATACTTGAAATATCTATTCCTTTTATAAATGAAAGGTTACACACCATTATTAATAATCGTCTCATATTAAATGTTAATATAATCAATAATGAAGGATTGAATTCTATTGCTATTATCATATTTTTATTTTAAAAAATGTTAATATAACTAGATCTTCTTTGTATTTTGTACAACTCCCTTCATGATAAAAGGTTAAGTTAAATCGTTAGGATTAAAAGATTCTAAAATGATTCCTACAAAACTACTTGTACATATCCTACATAATTTAAAAATTAAAATACCTAATATCAAATTAAAAATCAGATAAGAAATTTTTTAAAATTTCATCCTCCACAGTCCTCTGATAAGAACAAGTAATTATAAATACATGAAATTATCTTATATAAAATTATAGCAATCAGTCAACTTTTAAATCCACCCCCGCGAACAAAACAAATAACAAAAAAAACGAAAAAAACAAAAAGCAGTTCCTTATTGTCCCGGTTTAACAAAGTTCAACATTAGTTCTTGTAATTTTTTAAAAAAAAAATCAAAATTTCAAATTGATCTATGTAGAGCTCAATTTGATTCATTCCTTGCACTAGTTATTCCTTCAAAAACATTTGTTACAAATTAGATAATACACTTTTAATATACTCTCTTAAATATGTTTTATTAGTGACCAAAATTTATTAGAAACTATAATTTTGATGAGTAACACTTATTAACAAGTTTCACTTATGATTTTATAGTTTCTAATAAATTTTAACTAATTATAGTGTGTTCAAACTCCAAAAGAGTGTCAAAGGATGTGTTACTCTCACTCATTAGATAAATATACAAACATGTAGCTACAAATTTAAAAAGCTTGAAGCACCTTGGAAAGCTCCATAATAAGCACAATTTTACCGAGTTATTCATCATACGAACCACTCTAGCAAGGATATTAAGAAATCATTCACACATCCTTGTATGGAACACATATTATGTCTCAATTTGCCTAGTATATAAACTGTATTAAACACTACACTAACGGTAATCATTTTAAACACAGTTCATTGAATGCAAAACAATATCATACACTTGAGCCTATAATGAAAAAAATAAGCCATTTAGAAACTCATTACACCAAATAACATGTGCAAATGCTATTAGCCCATATAGAAGACAAACCATGCATTACAAAGACAGGAGACAAATGTGTATTTTGAGAACTGTACAACTCATTCATTACCTATATCCATTAGAAGATTTAAATAAAAGTGGATCAATTTGCACGTAGCCCCTCAATGTAGTAATTCAACAGAGGACAGTATGGACTAAAATAATTTATGCAATAGCATTGCCACTGTTCTGCAGTTATAGACATGAGAAGTGAACACAAAAAAATTGGGAAAAAAAATCCAACTACCAAAACTCTAGCATCTCTGATTTCTCTGTATGGACAAAGCTAATGGAAAGATGAAAAAATGAACCAATTAACACCATGATGGTGTTCCCTGAAAAGTTACTTGCAATTATCCAAATCCAGTGTGGTTGTGATCATTGATCATGAGGGCACTTGCAGATAATGATTTCCTTATCACTGCTTCTGGTTTATACCAATCCATAGAGTGGAAAGATATGGTTTGTGCCAACAGGATGTCTGTCAATTTACCTGGCCGGAACATACAACTAAACATGTCTTCTAGAGTCTCCAGTCAGTTCTCTTCTTACAAGCTCCAGAATCTCAATAATCTGCAAAATGAAAGGATAATTATTGAAAATGTTTTATATTGGGAACTTAAAGAGATCAAACAATACACACTTGACACTACACATTATTCTATTCATGAATATAAAATCATCTCAATTAACCTTCTTCACAAAGAAAGACTAATTATTTTTTGATAGACACAAATTATAAAGAAAACTATACGCTCTTATGTTTCTTTGAAGGTACACAAATCTAATTGGACAGTAAAACTTCCACATTGAGCTTCATCAGTAGCTATCTAATCACACACAATTCTTAGCTGAATGGTGGGGTTGACGTGGTTGGCTAGATGTACACAGTTCTACATGTACTATAAATAAAAAGTTGGCCTGTACACCTGGCATGGTGATAGTACACTAACAGGTTGTCCAAAACCTATTCTTTTAAGGTGATGAAAGGAGCAATCATGACCGTTAGATTTTGCATGAATGGCTAAGATTACGAGATTAGAAAATAAATAAAGTCATTTGACTCTTTCAAGTGATTCATGTAATCATTAAGATTATTCTAGCCATATTTGTAACAAATGTAGAACTTTTTAGAAAGGTAAATTTGACGTAAAAAAAATAATATTAAGCACATGAAGTAATTGATAGATTTTCAAATCTCCAAAACCTAAAAACTTCTGAGATTTTGCTTCCACAGAGTTAGGTCAAGTATTCATCTCAACACAGAAAGGAATACTTCTAATAAAATAATTTTACATTCATAAGGAGAAATAATCAGGAAGATAGATAGACTCTCTATAGTAATATCACATATATCAGCATAATATGCAATTCAATTGTGTACAAAGTACAAACATCAAAAGATGCATAGAAAGCAAAAGGTTCTTACCCCAGGGTAATGCTGCAGTATGGGTGAATAATGATCAAGCGCAATGTATATTTTTTCAAGGAGGCTAAGAAGAGTATCTACCTCATCCCCCAAAAGATCAACCTGAAACTCCAAGTAAATATCCAATGTAACTTTAGATCAAATATAGGTGGGGTCAATTAGAGCATTAAAATAGAAAAAAAAGTTTAAATGAAAATAATGTTCTCTCAATGACATTTAGATATCTTTTCATGTTGGGAATTAGCCATACATCTGGGTTCACCAAAATTTAACAGCATAAACCTTATAGGCTGATACACTCATACACAGGCCTTGATTTGCATTTTGCAATGTGTTTTTTTTTGTTCTTCCCTGAGATTTGAACTAACATTCTCATCCCAAGGGGTCAGGACTGCTTTCCACCTAAACCAATTCCTTGTAGGTTTACAAGCACTATTTATTAGTGGTATTCAAGGGCATCAGCATGCATTGGAGCAGTGCTAGGTTTCACAGTTATAATATAAAGTAAGATTCAGAAACACATATAAGTAATGCAATGTTTCCAATTGCACGACAAAAGGGGGGAAAAAGGATAACATAATGTTTTGGATTACATACCTCTACTTCAGCCTTTGCAAGATCAGAAGATCTTGTTTCTAGCCTTTGCTTGTACACTAAACCCATGGTTTTAAGCATATTGGCTTTGTTATTGATCCAACGGAACTCAGATCTCATGTTTTCAAGCCTGAAAAGATTATTACATATGACTTGGTTTTGGCCATAATCACCACAAGGATTCAAAATTGAATATTAAAAAATAACAATATTATGATTTAAAACTGCTTATTACAAATATGGATATGAAATTGAAGTATATCAGTTTCTTCCCATAATTTTCAGTTGTTAATAGTTAACAAGACCAAGTTGAAATCAAATATAAACTTTTGATAAATATCTTTGCTGCTCACATTAGAACTTATTCCCATACATATAGTATACCAACAGCTTCCACAAATAATCTGAAAGCATATATCACGAAAGAATATACATAATAGCTTTTTATTTGGCTTAAAATTTTTCTTAAAAAAAGGGTTTAAAAACAAAAATAACTAAGTTAATTACTCAAATTATTCCTTCAATCGATTAGATAAACATCACATTCAGAATAATCCAAAGGTAAAACTGATGTACTTGCTGGTTCACATAAACTTGAACACTTACATTGATAGATGACCATTGACTACATAAAACAGCTTAAAACAGAGAAGAAACAAACATAAAAACAGTAGTTTATCATAAATTAATGTGATACTAAATAAAAATAGAAGAATCTCAACACAATTATTGCATACCTCAAACAATTTCTTGAAATATCTTTGTTCACTCTTGCTTCAAAACCAGTAATCATGGTCAACAATTTATGGATGAGATTAATGGTTGATTCCATTTGCTTCCTGCTTTCCCTTTCTTTTGCCTCAATCAGGTTTAGTTCTTCTTGTTGCTTTTCTGTAAGAGCATGAAGTACGCTTCTTTCTTCATCAGTTTCTCTAAGCTTGTTCATTCTTTGTTCAAGATTTTGATGTAACTCATGCATTTTCCCCTTGTATAGTTCAATTTCCTTCAAAGTTGCAACCAGGTTACCCTTGGTGACATCCAATTCTTTACAGTTCTCTGCAATTACGTTATGTTGCTGAACTATCTCAGCTCTTAAACTGTTAAGCTCTCTAGAGGCTAACTCTGTTTTTCGTTTCTCTTCAACCAAATAATCTGCTGCTCCTTGTATTAACCTCTCATTTTCTTCCACTAAGGATTTCAACATAAGCATTTCATAGTTTAGTTTCTCTTTCTCAGCAGCTTCCAATTTTAATGCTTCATTTGCATTCACCAAAGTTTCTTTAAATATAACATGATTAATATCCAATTGCCCTTGCATCATAACTGACTCCAAATCTGCTTCCTCAATTCCCAACCCACTAGAAGCTTGAGCACTGTCGGAAGCTTCTTTGAATATCACTTCATATATTTCTTGCATGACATTATTCTTCAGACGTGATTCTTCAGTGATACATCTGAACTCACAAACAATATCTTCAAAGAGACATTTATAAACATCTTGAATAACTGAAACTTGAATCTCTGCATTCCCTACATCATCCTCAAGCTTTTCAATGGTTTGTAACAAATTTTTCTCTGTTAGTTGTTGCTGTGACAATTTTTCCACAGCATCAGAAAGCTGGCAAGATAGACTCTTAAATTCCTTCTTCTTATCTGAAAGTGTGTCCTTCAATTGATGATTCTCAGAATGTAAGAAATCCAATCTATCCTTTAAACTGCTAATAGACTCAATGTTTTCACTGAATTGATGTACTTTCTCATTTCCAACAAGGATTTCATTCAATTTTGAGATGACATCGGGGATTTTTTTCTTCAACAGCTCAAACTCCTTGTCCTTTTTCAGTGGAAAAGAAGAACCTCTTTCTTTCAAATTCAGAAGTTCCCGCCTAAGGCGAAAATTCTCTTCAGTCTTCTCCTGCACTTGAGATTCATGGTTTCTTTTCATTTTTGTAATGTAAGTAACCAATTCTTCTTTAGACATGTGCTTTAGTGAGGCCGAATCCAAATTCTCAGGCTTGTTAATTTTTGACTCCTCCCATTTGCCATTTTCTTCCATGGTTGAAGGTGGTAAATGATCTGTCGAAAGCTTCACATGGAAATGGTCAGCCCTCTTATTATGACACCATTCCTCGGTATTCTCCAAGGAACCATAAGAAATAAGGTACCCAGCTTCGGAAACAGACAATGATTTAAAAATTGAATCCAATTCTTGACGCAAACTAGAGATCTCATTATATTGGTTAAAACAATTTCTACTTTTGGAGTCATAAAGGTCCCATAGTTTCTGTTCAAACTCCTGTTGCAAACCCCAGATACCATTGCTGATCACCATCCGTTCAATTTCTGATCGAAACTCCTGCTCCTGCTGCCACTCAGAAAGCGATGCCTTTGATAACTGATCCATTCCTTCCATCCTTCTACAAAAAGTGTCTAGGGTATCTTTGAGATCTTCAAAAGCTTTATCAACAAAAATCCATTTCTCCGGCATATTCTCCTGCAGAATACCACTTAAACCCACCAAATCAGAACCGGAACTAATTCTTCGGATGGAACTAGATCCTCTAATTTTTTTTATTTCTTTCTCAAGCAGGCTTAAATGCTCATGAACTGCAATTTGAAGACTATCTACATACATTATACATCTATCATGCTCTACATCACTATCTGAAAACTGATGCATAGCAGCTTCATGGGGTTCACAATGATGTACCAAAGACAACAGCGTTTTAGTTTCATCTGAACCCACACGAAACCTGTCTAGTATTTTCTTTAGCTCAACCACCTCCAATTCTTTCTGAGCAATTCGCTCAGCTGCCTGTTCCTCAATAGCATTAACCATGCCCTTTATAACAGAGTCACTCACCATCCTAGATATGATCAACGGCTCATCGATGTCAGCCAGAAAGGAATCCATCTCCTCAATTATGTGATCCCCAAGACTCCCATCTTTTGTACCGTTATCGTAAATCCTTTCACCACCCCCGATAACAGCAAAGCTCTCCTCCATTGCCACTTTTCTCCTTCAAAAACAAGAATCAGCAATTTGGGGCCATTCAAAAACACAAGCTCAAATCATACCCTCAAATCAAGCACACCACCTGCCAAAGTAGGAAACGCATAACAATTAGTAATGAACTTACCAAACAGAGCCAGAAACAAAATTGCAAAATAAAACACACAACAATACTTATTTATGAGTAATAAATTATTCAAATTTCCAACTCAAACAAAAAAGGGTAAGAATTATGATGAAAACGGACACCCTAAAAAAAAAAAAATCAAAACTTGACTCGTGCCCTTTCACTGTAATTCACTTTCAAAATCATCGAGGCAGAATTCAATAATCAAAACGCTGAAACAAAGTCAAAATCCTTTCACTAACATAATTTTCTGAACCAAAAATGACCCAGGAGCTGAAACTTGAGGGAGAGTAAAAATTCCTGCTTCGGTGGCAGCTAGTTGGCGCTCCAATGCAGTTTGAAGATTGGAAAAGTGGGTGAAAACTGAAAGAGAAAGGAGGGCGCGAAAAACTTACCAGGTGAAGAAATTACGAATCGTGAGGTTGAATTAGCAGAGAAAAGAAAGTGTTGGAGAAGTCCGAGGAGACAGGAAAGAGGAGCAGCGTACGAGGGAGAGGGCTTTTTTAGGGTTTAGCAGAAGAAGTGAAAAAGTTGCAGAGCAGAGATTTGGTAAGAGCGGGAGAGAGGTAACTAAAATACAGCCATTCTTCTGAGTTGTGTGAACAACAAAATTACAAACAAGATCTCAAAACCCTTTTTTTAATTTTATTTTAATTATGCATCATTAAGTTGACTTCACAAATAAAAAAGTTAATATATTTTATTTGTTTTAGAAAAACTCCTGGCTGGGCCCCTCTAGAGTCTAGCCTATTAGATTGTGAGATATTTGTGATGGAAAAAATTAGTTATTCTTTCTTTTCTTTTTTATTTATATAATTTAATTTAGTTTTTCTTTTAAAATGTTTTATTTTGTCTTTTTAATTAAAAAAATAGTCAATACTACTTTTTTTTTGTATAAATTGATATTAACTATGTAAATGAAATCAAATAAAAATTTTACATTAAATAGTTTTTTAAAATTAAATTACCAAACTAGACATTAAAAAATAGAGTCAATGGATAATGTAAGTATAAAAGAATTTATAAACATGTGAAACTTTTAGGCAAGTGCTTTTTTTTAAGGAGTGTTTTGCTTATTTTAAAAATTGTTTTATACTAAATTAAAATAATATGAAAAAATGAAATTATTTTTAAAATACTCTAGTTTTTTAATATTAATTTTGTATTGATTTGATTGATTCTTATGAATTTTGAGATGAGTCATGTTTTAAAAGTTAATGGACCAATCACCTATTAGTACACAATTAAATAATTTAATTTACTTGTTTAATCTATATTTATATTATTAATAAAGATATTTTTCTTATTTAGTGTTCATATTTTTTTTTTGACAATTTTATCCTTATAATCATCTTTCTACAAATTATAATTTTTTATTTTATTTTATAAATTTCATCCCATAATCACCTAGATTTTCAAAAATAACTTACTATTATATATTTAACGTTGTGTTTGATCTAATTAAATTTTTATATATTAAATATGAATTTTTATTTTACACTATAAAGAATTTTTAGACTTTTTTTTTCAATAAAAAAGTTTCTAAGATTTTTTTAATTTTTTTATATAA